TTGATTGTATTCAATGCATTTGCCCAGTTGAAGCTGAAAACTCCATGTAGTGAATGGGCATATTGTATGATTATTAGAGTGCATACAGGAACAATGATTTATACTAAGAAAAGTGACATAATTGTCTATACAAATAGCAGTAATCATACAATGATATGTATAAAAGAGAAAATTAATTGGTAAACAACATTATAAACACATAATACCTTATGTCAGTTTCAAATAGATTTGTTAGTACATTTGCCCAAATGAAGCAAAAAGCTCCATATTAAAGATGGGCACCTTTCATATATTATAAAGTGTGTACATATAGGTAGTCATTTATAACATGAAAAGAGACATAACTATTTGTGCAAATAGCAACAATAGTGCAATGCTGCATACCAAAAGGAAAAAAAAAAGGAATATATATGTATTAATAAAAAACAACAACATATGGGCACATAGTATGTGGTATCTTAAAGGTATACATCACATCTAGGTTATGTAAATGTAGCCCATATAGAATAGGATTGGTGAGTGAAAGAAAAAAGAAAATTTAATTATAAAAAATGAGCCAATTCAAAATCTAAATTCAAGCCCTTAGGGATTAAAGTGTTTAATTCGAATATCCACCTACTTTCAATTTTGCAGAGTTCTTTGAAATTATCTTCACCCCTCCAATCCTTTTTCTTTTGAGCAATGGCAATAAAATTAACATGCGAAGGATCACTGTTGTGACATTGTAAGAAATGTGCGGAGACACTATGTTTGGCATAACCCCTCTGTATATTGCCCAAGTGTTCCAGCATGCGGGTTTTTAATGTTCTCGTGGTCATTCCCACATACTGGAGTCCACAAGGGCACCAGAGGAGGTATATCACATTACTAGAGTGGCAGGTGAGGATAGAATTGATCTTATATTCCTTTTTGGATATGTTAGAAGTAAATTTAGTGTGTGTGTCTTTCTTAGATTTTGTTCTTTTGCAAACTGTGCACATTTTACATGGATAGAAGCCATATTTTTGTTTAAAAATATTAGTATTAGCAGTCTGAGTTTTTATATGGTTTTTAACCAATAGACTTTGGAGATTTTTTGTGCCTCTATATACAATTTTTGGTTTTTCACTAATGATGTTATTAAGACCTTCATCGGTTTTTAGGATGTGCCAGTTTTTCTGAACAATAGATTTTATATGTTTAGCATCACCACTATAGTCCAAAATTAAAAGGGGTTCCTCTGTTTGTTTAGTTGCTTGTCTATCTTTATATTCTAACTGGGACTCTCTATTTAGTTGTTTAATTTCCTGGATTTGGTGATCTAAAGTGGTTGGATCATACTTCTTTTCAACAAAAAAGTTTTTTAATCGTCCCGCCTGTTCCTCATATTCCTTAATGTCACTGCAATTTTTGAAAATGCGGTTGAATTGACTTTTGGGTACATTGCGCAACCACGGATCATAATGACAACTCGTGGTGTCAATGTACCCATTGACATCCACCGGTTTAAAATAGGTTCTGGTGAGGATATGGTTGTTGGAGACATAAATCTCTAGATCTAAAAACTGAACTGACGTTTGGCTAATTTGACTAGTCAAAACAATATTTCTGCAATTGTCGTTAAGACCCTCCAAGAAGAGATCCAAAGAAGTTCTGGACCCCTTCCATATAAAAAAAATATCGTCGATATATCTGCGATAGAGGACCAGACCCGCCCCCATATCGTCCCGAACTGGGAGGAAGGTACCCTCCCAGTGAGACATAAACAGATTAGCATAGCTGGGAGCGAATCTGGTCCCCATCACAGTTCCGACTAACTGTAGAAAAAAGGAACCATCAAACCAAAAGAAATTGTTGGTAAGGATTAAATAGATACTGTCTATAATGAAGTTAATCTGGTTCTCAACAAACTTGTTACTGTGTGACAAAAAATATTTAATAGCTTCACAGCCCAGCTTATGTGAAATGATAGTGTACAAACTGGTCACATCACATGTGACCAGATAAAAATCTTCTTCCCATTGAATGTTCTGTAGGGTCTTTAATAACTGTGTGGAGTCCCTAAGGTAGGTTGGTTGAGATGTCACCAAAGGTTGGAGTTGTCTATCTATGTATTCAGATAGCCTACTCAAAAGGGATCCTACCCCGGATACTATGGGCCTTCCAGGAGGCTTCTTTGTATCCTTATGAATTTTTGGGAGAATATAAAGAACTGGTATGCGACATACCGATATATTTAAATATTTATATTCATGTTTATTGAGAATCCCATCTTCCATACCTTTACTTAGTAGTGAGGTGTATTTCTTTCTTATTTCTGGGGTAGGGTCAGCTTTAAGTTTAACATAGGTGGAGGCATCCTTGAGCTGTCTGTATACCTCTTCCATATAGTCCGCAACATTCAGCACAACGATGCCTCCACCCTTGTCTGCTGGCTTAATAATAATATTGTGATCTTGTTGAAGATCTCTCAGGGCTTTAATTTGAGAATGGTTTAGATTCCTTTTTTCTTCTTAGATATCTGTCTCACATCATTAGTTACTAGTTTCTCAAAAACTTTCATTTCACCACTAATATGATTTTTTGGAAAAAAATGAGATTTGTCTTTTAAGTTTGTATGTATGAAGTTGTCATTATTAGTTTCCCTTAATACATTGGTAGGGAATTTCTTAAAATGTTTCTTTAGACAAAGTTTTCGAATAAATTTATGAATGTCTATAAAGGTGTTGAAAGGTTTATTAGTACTAGTCGGTGCGAATTTTAAGCCCTTATTAAGGACTTCTAATTCTTTATTTGTTAGTATTTTGTTTGAAAGGTTAAAAATACCTAATGATGGTTTTTCCCTCTTTTTTTCAAAGTCCAAAATTCTTCCTGCTCTACATCCCCTTCTCC